GCTCTGCTCTGGGAGAGCCCCGGTCGATATTTCCACTGATATGTGTTACTGCTCGTTCTCCTGCATGCACCAAAACATTCCCTTACAGAGGGGAGAACCCCCGGTGTCTGTTTTGCTGCTTTCAAGGGTAGACAAAATATTCAAATATTTATCCAAAATAAAAGAGACTAGGCTATTTCCTGAGCAACCAATGTTGCAGCTAACCGTCAATATTCACTGTCAAGAGAGGACAGCCGCCCAAAATGTTTCATAAGATTTGTAAAACAGCAACACTGCGAATTTCAGAAGCAGCCTGATGCTGTATAGGTCTGACCCAGTTCCAGCCAGCACCGGGGAAGTTCTCCAAGTCTAGTCCGGGGGAAATGTGTTCAATTTAGAAAGTGCACTTTATTCCAAGAATGATGTTAAGCCTATTCTTTAGTCTTGAAATTGTGAACTGAGGAAGAAGGGAAATAATTAAAATATTTTGCCATCTGAATCTTTCATTTCATTAACAGCGTTAATGCAGCCACGCTAATACCGGCCGACTTCCACCCGCGTGTCGTCCAGCAGCGGCTCCGCCAGCCAGGTTGCCCGGACACATCACTTCAAGGGCGCGTCAGGTGCAGCCTGGTTCAGAAATATTGCTTATGCCATTTGGGAAAGTTCATTAGCCTTGATTTTATCTTGGCGCTGCAAACCCAGGACACCTCACATGTGGTGTGGATTCCGTGCGTGTCCATCCTTTGTCCCGTCCGTAATTAGCGGTGCCAGGGTGCGCCCCAGCGCTGGCGAGGGCCTTGGCGGCGGCTGTGGCACGGGCAGGACCTGGCGCCTCTGCCACGGAGCAGCTTGTGCTGGGGCAGGAGCAGAACTGCTCACGCGCAGTCTGGCTTCCGTGGAAAAATTGTGAAATTAATGCTGAGCTAACATTTAATCTCACTTAATTGAGAAATTCATTTTTCAATGGGAAAGATTCAAACCTCAATGAGTGGGGGGCTTTTTCAATTACTGAGAGCTAAGGAGAAATTTCCACTTTTCTTTCTTACTCTTGACCTTCAGACCTTGCCGTAGGTGCCTGTAGCCCAAGGTGATTAGAATTCCTACAGCTTTTTTAAATAAATAATAATTTCACTCTTGATTTTGCTGGATTTGTGTGTTCTTCGTGGTAGGTTTTTTTTCCTTTCCAAAATTTAAAACTTTTATTAAAACCAGCTCTTGCTTTTACACCACAGCATATCTCAAGACATGCCGGCAGTTACAGTCCTCATTTTATTAAAAGAGATTTTCATATTTTTATGAGGAGATCTGTTAATGACAGTATCTACATGGATAATGGAAGGCTCTTTCCAGAATTAACTTTTACTGACTTCCAGACTGGAGCCTACAGACGGAAATTTGCTCACCACAGCCTTGTAGCCAGCCACGGGCAATGCCTCTGATGAGCCAGCCTCGGTTGGCTTGGGAGCCCCTTGCAGGCAACGCTGTGCCCCAAGGGAGGAAGAGGAGGAGAGAAGTTGATGGCTTACGAGGGTTTCCCAGCGGGCATTTCAGAAACAGCAGTGCAGGCCTGACAAGGAAAAATTATTACTTCAAGTAACAAATGAGCAGAAAAGCCTCCTCCAGGCAAAGGTGCTGTTCCTGGTTAATGAGCTTTGTGAAAAATAGAAAGAAAGGAGTTGTGCTTCCACTTTACATTTGGGTCTTGTGCTGTGCTTCATCGGGGAGAGCAGGGTGGCGGCAGGGGACGGGCACTGCGGCGTTATTCCCAAGAACTGTCAGATTCCAAAGGGCAATGGAAGCAGGGAAGATTAGATTTCCCCCGAGGGAAGTCCTTTGGTAGTCCTGGGATAGTTTAAGGCTTAAGACTATTTCTTAAGCTAATGCTTGTGAAGTACGGAAAGTATAATGTGCCCCCAAGAAGGAGAGCCAGATTTTCGCGCTCCTGCAGACGTTCCCCCAGACACTAGAGCTGGTTTATGTCCGAGACCTTCCCCGGAGACTCGGTGACTCAGGCGCGACACCAAGCCCCGAGTCCCCGGCGGTGCCCAAGCTGCTGCCCGTCACCCTGCGCGGCTGCCGGCCCAAGCCTGGGTTTGGGCTGGAAGTAGCCACCAGAGTGAGCCTGGCGCTGGCAGGGGGGGTCCCTGTGTCCCACCAGCTCCACGGGGCCGGCCACGGGCCACCGGAGCCATCGGGCCCCAGGAGAGAACTGCAGGCAGCCCTAGGTCCTGTCTGCTCCCTGTCGGCTGAATTTCAGTCTTTCACCTATGGAAATTATCGGGCCATTGGTGTCACTGTCATTCCACCTGTTTTCTGCGTGTTATTGGCTGTTCCGAACCTGATCTCCATCTCGCTGACCACACCAGAGGCTCCAGGGTGCTGATCCCAGCTTTGCAAATCACTCAAGGCAAATCGTTCGGCTTCTTCAAGTCTCAATTTCATGCTTTGTAGGATGGAAACAATAATAACAGCAACCCTCCTTCTCCAGGGCATGGTAAAAACACCCGTCTGATGCGAACATGGAGCTTTAAAGACGAGAAACATGATGCTCATTTTAAGCATCATTCGTTGTAAGTGTTCTTGCTATTAGGGATTCGGTTTGACACTGCACGTCCCACATATTTCTCCCTCTGTCTCAGCTGATGCAATAACTTCCAAGGATGTTCTTGGTGTTCCTTTTCTGTTCTGTTGTTCACTGAGGTTCCACCATTATTCGCTGAGGATTTGCTTCTGTGACTCTTCCCTGAATCCTAGGCAGGCTTTTCCTGTGGTGGCATATCTCAGAAAATTTTAAAAATGGTCTCCAAAGCCAGGGTTTGTCCATCTCCTGGATGTGGTTAATTGTCCGTGTTTCACACCTACGGACTGTGTGTAGCAGAGTGATAACAGAAGATAAAGGTGTTTTTCCTCCTCAGGGGACTGTAAGGTAACGCGGGGATTACTCCTGAGCTGGGACTTCCCTCTTGCTTGCGCTAATAGGGCTGTGCAGAGCCAAATGCAGAATTTAAGCCTTTTTCATTGACGCAAATCTATGTTGATGAATAAGGAAAACTCCCGATAAGATCCTCCCAGGGGAACTGAATCAGCTGGTGATAAACCTGGGCTTTCCATCAGCTCTCCTCAGGTACTCGTCTCAGGCTGCTCCTGCTGACAGAGTAAATCGATACCTTGGCACTGGGTGCCAGATCAGAGATAACTAAATATGCTGCTTGATAAATCTCTCCCTTGCGTCCTCTCGGCTGCAGAAGTGGCCGTGCCTTACTGTGCTGCCAGCAGAGCCAGAGGCTCTCGGACCGGCCCGTTCTTTCAGCCTCCGACTTCTATTTAATCCAGAACGTCTGTGGTTTGCAGAAAGCCTTTCTGTATTCATATGCTTGGGCCGTTCTGCAGGTGGCTCAGGATTCTACAGCTGACGTTTACAGCTGAAATGCAGCAACTCTCTTCTGACGGGGGGGGGGGG